CTGTCAAGTTAGCACTACATCTTGCGATTGAATAAAGAAACTATGCATTAATTATATTATCGCTTAATTTGTTGTAATTTTTATGAATAATTTTTGAGGTAGTGCTAACTTGACAGTGGGAATCGATGGTAAAGAGTGGAGACAACAAAAAACTAATGACGTCATAAATTGTCGCTTAATTTATTGTAATTTGTCGTAAAGTTTACAAATTTGTCGCATCCTTTTTTATAAACAACATTTGAAATATTGCATTTCTTTCCTTCAAATTTATTTTAGTTGGTGGCGTAGCAACGCGCGCGGGGTACAGCTAATATTGTTTATAAAAAAGGATGCGACAAATTTGTAAAGTTTTCGACAAATTACAACTAATTAAGCGACAATGAATTATCTCCACTCTTTACCATAGATTCCCACTGTCAAGTTAGCACTACCTCAAAAATGCAATATTTCAAGTATTGTTTATAAAAAAGGAAGCGACAAATTTGTAAACTTTACGACAAATTACAACTAATTAAACGACAATTAATGCAATAGTTTTTTTTATTCAAATCGCAGGATGTAGTGCCAACTTGACAGACGTCTTTGCATCAAGAGCTTTAGGAGAATGATATCCAAAAGCCATTTTCATTTTGTTATTAGATACAAGTATGCTTTAAATAAAAGGTAACAAATCAAAGGCAAAACAAATTGATCGTGATTCACGTGATTTGAGTCGTGGTTTAACTAATTTTTCTAAAAATTTTAATCACTGTGTTTATGGTTTAAAAAAGACCACTTTATCTCTGTAATAATTTTATATTAAACAATTTGAGACGTTTCGGGTTCACCTCCCATCTTCAGTCAACAACTAATTACTTATAATCATATCTACAAAGAACCACAACAAAAAACCATAAAGAAAATTCAAACAACACAAAAATACAAAAATTAATCAGTGTCGAATGTTAAAAGAATTTACCTCAAATCTTGATGTGATATTTTAAAAAACACCATTTTAAAATTATTTTACATACATGTATATATGTGCGTCAATTTGTGCGAGAATTTTGAAATGACATTGTAAAAAATGAATTACATAGATAAACCCCTGAAATTAAAATTGGCACTAAAACATTTTATAACACCAAGAATTCATGGATTAATTAAAATTCATAAACAAGACAAGCCATTAGACCATACGCATTATCAAAATTTCTCAATAGTTCTTTGAATAATCTTAATTCAATGAATGATTACGACATCAAAAATTCATTAGAGTTAAAAAAAAAGTTAAGAACATTACATCTGAATCACATTGAATACGATATTGTAAGCTTTGATGTACAGTCCTTATTTACAAACATACCTTTACAGAAAATGATAGAATTGGTAGAAACAAACTGGGAACATATAGTAGATCACACTGCAATTAAAAATAAAAAATTGTTTATCGAAGGAATTAAACTTTGCACGTTTAATAGCTATTTCAATCATGATAATAGCTATTACAGACAAATTTACGGACTTCCAATGGGTTCCAGTTTGAGTGTAAATTTGAGTGATATAGTGTTGAACGATTTAATAACAACACAATTAGAAACAACTAAAATAAAATCGATACTGATTGCTAAGTACATCGACGATCTGTTGCTAATCTTACCCAAAAATGAATATCCAAAATTATTGGATATATTCAATAGTTACAACGATCGTTTGAAATTTACAGTAAAATACCCGATAATGATAAATTACCCTTTTTGGATTTGGTTGTAATTATGAACCGATAATAACTCAATTTCAACGAAATGGTACAAAAAAGAAAGTGTTAGCAATAGATTGTTAAATTGTCACAACAACCACCCTAAATCCCAAATCATTAATATCATGAACAATTACATAAAGAGAGCTATCTCAGTCACAGACAATGCCTTCTTAAAAGAAATAAAAAAACAATTATATAATATTTTATTAGAAAATCTCTACCCTAAGAGATTAGTTAATAATGCTTGGTATAGAATTAAAAACTCTATTGATAATGATAATCAAGATAACAATACAACTACTAACATATCGAGACTCATAAAACAATGTAAAAAAGAATATTTTTTAAGAAGTAAAACAAAAGAAAAAATAGAAGGTCAATCATTAATTACACAATATTACGAATTACAATATTATTTTTAATCAGAAGAATGAGAATGAACAAGATAATAGAAATACAAATGATGAAACAAATAAAATAACAAATTTGAACAAGTTTTGTAAGATTAAATATTATATTAAATAGTCAGACGATTTTAAAGAAATTAAATTTGCAAAATACAATGATAATAAAATTAACACCCTGATTTCAAATATGAAGGACAAAATTAAATTGATAAAGCAACGGTCGTTTGTTTTTTAGTTTCCCACGAGGTTTATGCGTTTGCCATTTTAAACAGACAACCAGTATAGGAGCGCCGATCATCTATAGATGATCCCCAATCTGTATAACATTCCATTTCTTTCCATTTTCGTTCTATAAGTTAGTTCCAAATTTATTGCTCCTTTTAAATACCTTAACACTCTTTTTGCGGCAATTCAATGACTCTCGTTGTAATTTGTGTTAAGTTGAGGTTCAAGCTTGGGTAATAATGAGACAGTCTCGATACTCAACTTTTGCAAAGTTTGTTACATTCGACTTCAAATGTGTTTTGCCAATGCCAAAGATTTCAGCCGAAAACAGAAAGAGTGTACTCTATCAAAGTTTTAAACGAAGCATTGTGTTGTGTGGTATCTTTTAATCATTTATTCCTTTTCTAGATCAATAATCAGCTAAAATCAGTACTTTTCAAACTAAAATCGTTGTTTCATAATGTTTCACGCTTTTTCAAACCATTTCAATAAGGTTCAAGCTTGGGTAATAAGGAGACAGTCCTGATACTCAACTTTTGTTTGCAAAGCTTGTTACATTCGACTTCAAATGTGTTGTCCCACTGCCAAAGTTTTCACTAGAAATCAGAGAAAGTATTCTATCAGAGTTTTAAACGAAGCATTGTGTGTGTGGTATCTTTTAATCGTTTATTCCTTTTCTAGATCAATTATCAGTAGAGCCTAGTTTGTCTAGCACTAAACAACTAAAATCAGCAGTTTTAAAACTAAAATCTTTATTTCATAATGTTTCACGCCTTCCCATGCCATGTCATTAAGGTTCAAGCTTGGGTAATAAGGAGACATTTTCAATACTCAAACTTGCGATCAGATTTGATATGGATACATTTCATTATTTCTTCGTTATTTTCTTCAGGTTTTTGCAATTTTGAATTTGTATCCATTGGTGTACTGACTGGTTTTGAGTTTTCCATACCAAATCACTGTAGAATATCTTTTATATACTTCTTTTGTGAAATTTTGATCGTTGTCTCCTTCTTGATTTGGGTATGCGAGAATTCTAAACCGATACAGTAGTGTTTTTTTCCCAAGTTTTTCATTTCAGAACATTGAGATAATTTTCTTTTGAAGCTTTCAATTTCTTCTAAGTTTTTGCAGGCTATTATTATATCGTCTACGTAGATTGCGACGAGAAGTGGTTCCTCTTCATTTGATGTATAAATACATTGATCAGCATTGATTGGTTTTATTCCAATTTCTTTTAATTTGTTATCTAATTTTTTTATACCATTGTAGTCCGGCTTGTTTTAAACCATATACTGTCTTTCTTAATTTACATACTTTATTTCCATTTCTTTTGACATTTTCTTACTGTCTCTTAAAATTTCTTCATTAACTTCTTTAATTTCTATTATTTCTTCTAAGGTTTCTTTAAATAAATCTGGTGTTTTCATATAAATTTCTTCACTAATTTCACCGTTCAAATATGTTGTAAAGTAAATACACTCACGTAAATTTATCTAAATAACAACTTTATTGAATCTTCAAACAAAATATTAATGTAATTTAGTTCAGCGTTTGTATTTCTCAAAACACGCCCGTTTAGTCCGTCTTTTCTGTTTTACTCGCGATACACGTTTTTCTATCTCTGCCACGCACCAACTCTTATGTTCGACTCTCTCGATCTTGTTCAAACCTGTTCGTTTTATCTAACGTCTCGGAACATTTCGAACGCGGGAATCACTCCATTGCCACCCCACGCTCCGCACTACCAACCCAAAATCTCCCGCACACAAAATATCCCTAACAGTTGTGATAACATCCATTTGATGTATGTGCATATTATGTTCTACAGCTATAGCAATTAATTTTCTTATAGAGCTTAACCTTGTTACTGGTGAATAGGTTTCATGAAAATCAATTCCTTCCTGCTGCGGGAAGCCTTTTGCTACTATTCTAGCTTTGCATTTTTCTTGATATAATTTTTTCTTTAGTGTTAATTTGCATCCGATTATGTTTTTTCAACCAATTCCCACGTCTTGTTCTTGATCGGAGCTGTTAGGTATTTCATTTCTTATTACTTTTTTCCATTCTTCTTCATCTTCTTTTAAAGCTTCCTTTAAACAAATTTCTCCAATATTTGCTTCCAAATTTGTATCGTCGTACGTAGTTGTTGTTTTTAACACCTTTATCTTATCTTGGTTTTTAATATTTATTATTTCATCTGGTTCATTTTCTATCTTCAATTTATAAACTTTTTTAGGTCTACCTTTTTTACCAGTTTTTTCTAATTTAGGTCTGCCTCTTCCTCTTTTCAAAGTCACCATGTTACTTTGATTTAAGTGTATGCGATCTTCTGGGATTAACTCTGGAATTGACGGTGTATTTTCTGTTTTTTCTTGATTTATAGTTTCAATCATTCAATGATTGGGAATTCTACCAATATTTCTTGTGTTTGTTTCTTTTATTGTTCTAACAAAAAATCTTCAATATTAACATTTTCTTTTTTTAAAAATTTTATGTCTCTACTAAATATTACGTTTCTTTTATTTGGAATACAAATTCTTTTCAACATTTCTAATGCTTCATGTAATTCTTATTGAGATTAATGTATTAAAATGACCTTTTTGATAAATTTTATTTTTATTAAGGAAACCAATCCCGTAATCAATCTGAAGATAACAAAGAACAAAGTAAAGCTGGAAACTCTCAACAGCAGAAGCAAGATCAACAATTAAAACCAATACAACAACATCAACAAGATGCGGGGAGAAGTTTTGATGAAGGAAAGCAACATCAACCAACTCCTTTAATGGGTAAATTATTTTAAAAAATTTAATATCAAGAAGTTTTAAGTAAAATAATTATTTAATTAATTACCAGTTTCAAAACCCCAACAAACATTATCTGCTGATGCAGTGCAACTACAATGTAAACCATCAACTGGTGATACTCAACAACCAAGTTGTAGCCAACATCAGAGTATAAAACAAGTTGAATTGGCAACGACCTCAGTTGATACTCAAACATCAAATTTAAAAAATAAAGAGGAACAAATTACTATTAAACACGGAGGTAATTTTCATTTAATAATTTAATAATTTATTCTCTCAAAATTAATTGTAGGGGGATGTGTTGAATTAATAGAACCCCAACTTAAAAACAAGTTGCGTCAAGGGGGTACCGAAAATAAATCCCGCAAAATTGATGTTCTCACAAACCACTTTGCGTTAAAATTGGGCAAAACTACAGCAATTCATTACGATGTCAACATCGTTCCTAATACTCCAAAAAAATTTTTGAGGCAAGTCATGGAAATTTTTCGCCTCAATCATTACCCCGATCGTTACCCAGCATTTGATGGATCGAAAAATCTTTACAGCGCCTATAGTTTATGCGATGATACAATGTTTGGAGAGGTTAAGGTAAATTTTAATATTAATTATTTTGGTATTTTGATTTTGATTTTAATTTTTTGTTAGGTTCAAGATGGCGATCGCTCCAAAGAATTCAAAGTTACTATAAAACCAATAGTACGAATTGATTTATCGATTTTAGAAAGTTATTTCGAAAACATCGATCGAGAAGTGGGCGATAAACCAATGCAAGCGCTTCAATGTTTGGATGTAATACTACGTAGTGGACCAAGTTTGCGTTGTATTCCGGTTGGGCGATCGTTTTTTAATACGCCGAGTGGTTCCATGATAAAATTAGGAGATGGGACCGAATTATACAACGGATTTTATCAATCGGTTACAATTGGGTGGAAGCCCTTTTTAAATTTAGACATTGTTCACAAAGCTTTTCCTTTAGCGATAAACGTAATTGATTTTATCGAGGATGTTTTAAAACGAGCGAATCGGGATAATTATTTAAATAAAAGAGATGAAGATGTAATAAGGAAACATTTAAAAGGATTAAAAGTAAACTATGAATTACCTAAACAAGCGATAAAACGTGCTTACACAATCAATGATATCTCTAAACCAGCTAATCAAGCTACATTCAAAGATGATAGCGGCGCTATACAAACTGTTGAAAACTTTTTCGCCTCAAAGCGAAATTACAAAATAAAATATCCAAATTGGCCAACTTTATGGGTGGGAAATAAAACGAAAAATATTTACATCCCAGCGGAATTATGCACGATCTTAAGCGGTCAAGTGGTCAATAAAAAAATGTCCAAGATTCAAACTGAAAGAATGATCCAAGAGACTGCAACCACCGCCCCACAACGTATGAAAAAAATTATGGAATCAAAGCATAACGCTAATTTCAATGCGTGTGGACAAATTCAAGAATTTAACATCACCATTTCTGATAAACCCGAAGAAATTCAAGCTAGAGTTCTTCAAGCTCCCACTTTAACTTATAATGGAAATCGAAGCGTTCAAGTTAAAGGAGGTGTTTGGTATGGGCAACATTTTTTAAATAAAGCTGAAATTGATACGTGGACGATTATTTCGATGGATAAATGGGTTGATACTAGAGATATGGGAGAATTGGAAAAATGCGTAAGTATTTAGTTTATTGCTTTCGCCGAAAGTCTTGCTCTACATCTTTATACTAACATGTTCATCTCCCCTATTATTATTATTGCTGCCGGGCTAAGGGGAGCGGCCCCTCTCGTCACCGCGACCCATAAGATCTATTGTTCTTCCGTGCGTCCCCTTCGCGAAAATTGCTTGCATAAATATCTCTTCCATAAGGCCGACTATGGGGGTTTGCGTGCGTCTCTTGCGTCGGTTGATTGGGATGGTGCCATTGGCTTCTTATCGGTTGACGGGGCGGTTGATATGTTTTACTCAATTATCCGTGGTGCGGTTGACGAGCATGTTCCTCATCGAACTGTTCATAAACGTAGATTTCCATCATGGTATTCGCTGTCTACTATCAAAGCCATTAAAGAAAAGCTAAAATACCATAAAAAGTGGAAGTCCACAGGTTGCGATAATTATTATGAAACGTTTCGCTTGCTCAGAACTCGCACTAAAACATTAATCGCAGCCGAATATAGGACTTTTCTTGACGTCACACAGTCTAATATGTGTGTCAACCCTAACGCTCTTTGGTCGTACACTAAGTCTAAAAGAAAAGGTAATATGAGCATCCTCAGTAGAATTACCTATCGCGAACGAACGGTGGATGGCGGGCAGGATGTCTAGTGACCTATTTGCCGATTATTTTGGTTCTGTTTTTGTTGACAATCTGGGGATTATGCATTGGTTTACCCGCGATGACATCCTGCGCGCGCTATTGCTTGTGGACCCCAACGCCGGAGCGGGTCCTGATGGACTGCCCGGCTTGTTCTTTCGTGAATGCGCTTCGGAGCTCACCGAACCGTTATTATACAGGATGTCCCGTTAAGCGTACGGAGCGGCTGTATCTCAACAACGGTAAGGCGTAGAGGTTTGGGAAAAAATTCTTATAAGCAAAGTGGGCAAGAGAAATACCTGGAAATTATTTTGAAATTCGTAATTCGACCACTAGGGGGCGTAACTGCCATAGAGAAACATAAAATTCCCGCTATCTCAGAAATTTAGACGATGAGCTATAACTTTGACAACATCATTTAGTAGCTTGGATAATACCGCATCGCTTTTGTTTTGCGATATTTCTCATATCTGTCATAATAAGGGAGGGGGAGGCCAATGCGTTTTCAAATGTTTACATTTTAATATCTCCTGGACCATTCAACCGATTTGAATATTTTTGGTCTTGTTTGAAAGAGCATTTCATGCTCTTTTAAAAGATATTTTCAGTAAGACCGCTTGGTTTAAAACAAATAAGCTAGAGGGCGTTATCTGCAGCGGTTACATATTTTTGTGATTTTTGAAAAAAAGTTAAATGGAACGGTACTATTTACTTCACAGACCGTTAATCACCATAAAATTTGCTAAATATTAGTGAAAACCGCATCTCGATATCTCCATCCATTCTCGAATTATAAAAGAAAATGTTAAAAATTCGTATATCTTAATCGGATCAAGTTACCTTAGGAAACAAATAAGAGAGAACAAAAATTTTATTATCTAGAACCTTCCTTCACACTTTATCCAAGCTTAGAACTGCTTCAAAACTACTTTTGAGGCGTGTTGAAAAGCCAACGGATCAATGAAACATCAACAATGATAATAAAACAAAATAAACCAAAACACTTAGAATAACTTAAATTTTTGGCAAAAATAACTCACTAATGTGCGAAATGCCTTCCATAAACCTCGATGCATTTATTTAATCTAGTTTCGACGAAAAAAAAGCGCTGCTTAAGTCTCGGCCCTGGACACGTTTCTACTGGTATTTAGTGTTTTGTCATATTTTCCCTGGTTATTGGTTTTTCTTGAAAAGTCAGGTCGTTTAGTCTACCCAATAGATAAAGGGGTGAAAGCAATGTGGGTTTTGCTCGAACCAAGAATGCATATTATGCAAGTTTACATCAGCTTGTGGACAGATGCTTCATGCATCCATAGCATTTGTGATAAAAGGTTTGGATTTGCCCAAATCATATTTAAAAGTCAATGGTAATAGTTCAGTCTGTTATCATAATCGGTATCTGTTAAGGCCTGATGTAAAACAACGTGGTGGAGATATTATTCTCTTGAGAACTCTTGTGGACAATTGTTTTCGGAGTTCCCAGATTATGTGGGATCACATTGCGCACCAATGTGATTTACGAATTCATAGAGATGTCTGAATGGGCTACACGTTGCCAGTTTTCCGTAATCGCTAAGTCAATCTTAAAAACACTTCTAGAGAAAAATGTCTTTCTTTGTCGTAATTGCATTGCACATTTTTGCCATGCAGTTGCATCGTATTCGAAACATTGAAAATAAATCATCATACGCTCTATCATACGCTTCTGCGTTAGTAAATGACATGTTTACAGTTACCATGGTTATGTGATTTGTTTTTCTCGATGAGGTAACTGGATCCGATTGATGGCACTCGAGTTTTTAACATTTTCTTCTATAACTCGAGAACGGGTGGCGATATCGAGATGCGGTTTTCACTAAAATTTAGCAAATTTTAAGGTGACTAAGGGTCTGTGAAGTAAATAGTATCGTTCCATTTAACTTTTCTTCAAAAATCACAAAAATATGTAATCGCTGCAGATAACGCCCTCTAGCTCATTTGTTTTAAAGCAAACGGTCTTACTGAAAATATCTTTAAAAAGAGCATAAAATGCTCTTTTAAACAACACCGAAAATATTCAAATCGGTTGAATGGTCTAGGAGATATTAAAATGTAAATATATGAAAACGCATTGGCCTCCCCCTCCCTTATTATGACAAATATGAGAAATATCGCATAACAAAAGCGATGCGGTATTATCCAAGCTATTAAATGATGTTGTCAAAGTTATAGCTCATCGTCTAAGTTTCTGAGATAGCGGGAACTATATGTTTCTCAATGGCAGTTACGCCTCCTAGCGGTCAAATTACGAACTTCAAAATAATTTCCAACTATTTTTCTTGGTCACTTTACTTATAAGGATTTTTTTCCCAAACCTCTAGGTCTTAACGTTCTAGAGATACAGCCGCTCCGTACGCTTAACGGGACACCCTGTATATCTTCAAAACTTCCCTCTGAATGGAAGAAAGCCCTAATACTCCCTATACATAAATGTGGCAAACGTGATTTAGTTTGTAACTACAGACCTATCTCTATTCTCTCAATCGCCTCTAAAGTCTTTGAGCGTCTTGTTTACGATCTTATTATGTATAGTGTTAAATCATCTATAATCCCTGAACAGCATGGCTTCTACCGAGGCAGGTCAGTGGAATCTAATCTAATCTCTTATTCCAACTTTTTACTAAGCTCTCTTGATGACAATTGCCAGGTAGACGCCATATACACCGATTATAGCAAGGCGTTTGATAGAATTGATCATGGGATCCTTTTAAATAAACTTGCTAATTTTGACATTCCAACTGGTTTAATTTCGTAGATTTCATCTTACATCTCCAGCAGATCGCAGGCTGTTAGCATAGGTAATTACCGCTCTGCATTTAGAGATATTTGTTCTGGCGTCGCTCAGGGTGGTCATCTGGGAACGCTTTTCTTTCTACTCTACATTAACGATATCCATGCATGTTTTCACCATTCAAATTTTCTACTTTACGCCGATAATAGCAAGATATTTAGCCGCATCTGTTCTACCGACGATTGTGCAAAACTGCAAGACGATTTAAACAGGTTACATGAATATTGTTTAAGAAATAACTTGTTCTTAAACCTTGATAAATGCAGTAAAATTACATTTACTCGTAAACGCTATCCTGTCGTCTTTGATTACTCCCTTGGCTCAACTATCCTCAGACAATCCGAATGCGTGAGAGACCTTGGAGTTATTTTTGACTCTAAACTCTCTTTTTCGGCTCATATTGACTATATTGTTAACAAGGCTTCTCGCATGCTGGGATTTATATGTCGCATATCCCGTCCTTTTTCTGATCTGTCTTGTATTCGTTCACTATATTCTGCCTTTGTTTCCTCTGTCCTTAATTACGCATCTGCCGTTTGGAACCCTCAATATCATACCTACATCGACCGCCTGGAACAAGTCCAGAAGCGTTTTGCTCGGTATTTGTCGTATAAATTTTGCTTACCGTATTGTAATTATACGCAGCGATGCACAGTTTTTGGTCTCATGCCGCTCTCTTCCAAACGTAAAATTAATGACTTAACCCTACTTTATAAAGTGTGCAATGGCCTTATTGACTGCTCCGCGATCTCCTTGGTATTGCTCCAAGGTCTTGTTCCTTTATGTCGGTAGGTGTCAAAGGAGCTTTACCGAAATTTTGTGTCTTAGGCAGCGTCTGGAAACGCAATTACACAGTATATGTTCAGCAGTTTCTGACTCGTCGTTGCAAAGTCGACAAGTTTGATCCTCAGCTTTTCATCTCCGCTAACTTAGTTTTATATCCTAATGAAACCTAGATCGCATATGGCTGATTCGTCAGAATCATCAAGGTAGTTCTAGGAGTTGATTTTGACTCCCTGATCCTCAAAAACCAACGGTTTTCTTCCCTTTGTTATTTTTATTTTTTTTATTGGCAAACACTGATTTGAGTGCGGGTTGTTCATTTTCATTTTGTTTTGTTTTATTAATTTTTTTGCCAGCAAAAGATTCTTATTTCAACTACAGTTCCTTTCTTCTATTTCCTCCTTTTCTTTTCCTTTCATTGCCTTATCCTCGTCCATTTCTTTCCTAATTGTTTAACCATGGATTACTGGATTGTTTTCGACGGACGTTAATACTGGCCTATCGTTAATTAACTTAAATGAAAAACACCACTTTTCACGAAAAATATTTATTATAAGAAAAAAATAAAAGTTGCAATCCATTTCTTTATGCTTTAGCACAATATATAGAAATAGTATTGAGATCATTTTTTATTACGTAATACACGTAACACAAATATTACCTCTGTGTTAACTACAAATAGTGTGTTTGCAATATTTGCAATATGTGGTGATCATACGGCTTTTCCTACTTGGGCAGTACAAACAA